ATAAATTAAAAAGTTTGTAAGGATTTGGGAAAAACCAACAACATCTACAACAAAATAAGAATAAGAACAAGAACAGGAGCATTAGCTAGCATTAGGGATAAGGAAAAAAAAAATCTTTTCGGTTTCTGTGTCTTGTTAGTCTGTTCTTAGAAGCAGTTTAAAAGCTCATAAAAATAAAATAAGTACTTAATGAGCAAGTGAATAAATGAGCAAATGGATGATTTGAATATAAAGAATTTGGTGGATTGACTGCTAAATAATTGATTTAATAAATGAATGAAGGAAATTTTCTTCTTTTTGTTGTTATTGTTTTTGTTTTAGATTATTAGAATTTTACCATTTATATGATATTGATTACAAAAAAAGACAGAAAAAAACGGAAAAAAACTGCATCATTATTCTGCTTTTTTTTCTAAACTTAAAATTTTGAAAATATTTTTTTTCTTTTCTAAATCAAATTAAATAGCAGTAAAAAGCAGTTTTTTCTTTTTTCTAGACCTAAATGAAGCATTTGCACTTTTGGATACCGATCATGATGGACGGCTTAGTCGGACAGAATTGGCTGCTGTATTTAGGGCGATCAATGTGGAACCAACACGGGTAGAAATGGACTGTATTTTCAAAGAAATGGATACTGATGGTAAGCAGAAGATCTCTGTTTTTGTCCTTTTTTTTGTTTGAAGATTAAACTTTGCGGATTTTCGTAACTGTCAAATAATAAACCGTATTTAACGAATAGCTAAAAAAGATTCACACATCAGATATCTGCCAAATGCAATGAAGTACAGTTATGAACTGTTTTCTCTGCTTTTGATGGTAATGACATTAATGACGGCAGCGTTTTCATGACTGATTTTTTCGTTTCATTCATATCTTTAGCCGGAAACTATAGAATAAATTATGTAAAGCTGAAACAACTCTGCACCTCTTGGTACTTTGCAATTGACTTTTTTTTTCCTTTTTTATTTTGCCGCCTTCTCATATTCTGTTTTCCCAACTCTGTCCTTTGTTGTCGGCCAGATAAGGAGCAAAGCAAAATTGCCTTTTTTT